ATTCCTGAGCAGAGCTAGTGCTCGAAGCAGCCTTCGTTACATATTTGTTTTGGCCAAAACAAGGACTCACAGATGACACCCGCTTCCCACCCTCCTCGCTGTGTTTTCCTGATGTGGCCATGCCCATACCTCGTGACCCAGTGATCACACCGCGAGCCTAACGCCAACTGTGGTAGTTCTGCTCCTCCCAAGTTAGCGTTTCTCCTTTTAACTAACGTGCGAAGAGCTGTTCAGTGACCTCAGTGCTACTTGGTACGCACGAGCCTTCTGTACCTGTGCTTTTAGGTTTGCTTTCACAACGGTCCCAGAGCAGGGCATTAGAGCAGTCCATTGAAACCAGAACCTTGAGTCAGAGCCAGCCCACATTCTCAGCAAGGAGACATTCCCTTCGTCTTGCGCAAATATGACACGTTTTGCTTTCCTCGACATTCTTCATTGTCCCCATAGTAGCGTGCACCCTGTTGCTCGTCAGGGAGGGAGATGTACTGTCCTTTGAGAGTGGGTCAGACCACGGAGTCCTTCACAGAACACATATGCTTGCTCCAGTTCCTGCAGGAAGACGACACCTCCCAGCTACGGATGTGCAATTAAAAAGTTTCAGACAGGGAGAGTCTGAGCGAGATTTGTTCCTTCAGAATGTGCAGATAAAAGTGCAAATATGCAGTTGATGTTTCTTCTCTAGAAAGGAAGCTCTGGTGCTTTTAGCTGCTAACAAGCATCTTGAGAAAAAACAAACAGACTGAAAAGCTTCCAGAGTTCACCTTCACTTTGCTACATGGTACCGTGAGTCAGTCTTGTTCACTACGTGCAGCCCATGAGTCCAGGCCCTGGTCTGTGGCTGCATTAGGTGATGGAATGTTTGCGTAGATGGAGTTAGACGTTTAGAAAACAAATTATTACAAATCTTACACCGCCGAGAGCTGCCTCCGGTAGCCCTCTTCAGTTCTGCGGTGCTGAGTATAAGCCATGGCGATTGCTAGATTCCAAGTCGCCAGAACTGAAGAGTAGGGGGGCGTTATCTATTGTAGGTCCACCTAGATGAGGAGCAGCAGGGTAGCTGTCGCTGCCGGTCAGAGAGCCATACCAGCCGGAGCACTGAGGGGCAGCCAGGCTTTGAAGAGAAGAAAACGTAAGCTCTTAGAAACGGAATAGCCTCAGACATGCTTCTAGCTTGTGTACCTTGACTCCCCTAGATGACGAAACAGCACCCTTCTCAAAGAGAAGGGCAACTTCCCAGGATCATGTACCCACCCACTGAAAAATTTGGCCCTACTGAAATTAAAAAAAAAAAAAGTGTCAATTTGGGTGCTCAAATTAACACCAGAAAATATAAGTGAAGATTCCTAGTGTTAAGGCTTCTCAACAGTCTGCCACAAATTCCTATGTCTAGGCTTCAGGCACTGCTGTTATGACAGATTCTTTGGCTCTGGAGCCAGAGCGGGCTGCTCTGTAGCCTTATCTACTTTCTGCATACACAGAGTCTAAGCTGTGGCTCATCTGAACAGCAGTCATGACCTACCTTCCCCCATCTCTTCCGCCAAGTCGTGACAAGTCATCGTCGCTGTCGTACCGCCTCGGATTGTCAAAGAAGTATGCTCGGGAGCTGTAGCTGTGACTGTTTATCATTCCACCTGGTGTCTGTAAGGGAGGAACAGGAAGAAGTGACTAGTTTCTGGAGACTGAGGCAGAAGAGGATGCCACACAATACAGATCTTACTGCATGTTACTCTCTGCACTAGAATATTTAAAGGCAATTAGTTTATGACATCATACCAAGTTCTGAGAGAGTCTCCGAGCTCGGAAGAACAGCACCACAAAGGTCGTTGGCACCAGCTCCCAGAGAAAGAGGACCACTCCGAACACCACAAATTCTTCTCCACTGATTTCTTCCCCGTGGATCTGCAAGCACAGCACGTGACACTGAAGGCTTCTGGGCAGCTCAAGTTCACACCCAAGGGATTTGGGTCCAAAAGCTTGACTAAGATCCAGCCAAGCAAAACGCATGTGGTGTACAGACTATTCTGGAGTTCAACCTCAGGAACGTAGGACACTGGAGTTTCTGGACTAGGCAGACTAGTGGTTCATCTACTCCAGATGAGTTTCTATGCCAGGGTAGACCCCCTCAGTGTAAGCAACTGACATGTTAAGACAGAGCCATTGTATGAAGTGGCACAGGGGAGGGTTTCCATGTCCCTACAAAGCATTTTCCTCAGTAGCCAGAAGGATGTGGCTACAGGTTGCTTCTGTGTGTCACACACACTGTACTCCAATGGACCACGTGACTTACTCTTGACTATTTCTCTGCTCATCGCAATAACCCTCACTGGTCCACAATAGAAACCTAGAAGGATAAAAATCAGTCTATACTATACCATAGTACAATGTATAGCATCAGCGGTGTGCGTGCACACGCTGTAGAATCAGATTGAAAAGTCTCATTTGCTTAACACTGTGCATCTCCTTTCAGCCCTTTAGTTTCTTTTCTGTATACAAATCCCTTATAAGGAAGCAACATTTGCCAATATACTGCAGCATTCTCACGGTTACGGTTCATAACACACCTGGGCCAGTCAGTGTTAAAGAAACAGGACAGTCCCTCTCCGAACAAAGACTCCATTTTAGAATTAACAGTTGCTGCAGCAACCCCCTTCCATGGAGGAGACTTCAGCAACTAGCAACAGACCAACCTCATTTCTCCAGAATCCCAACACGCTCAGGGATGCATTATCTTTTTGTATTCACACTGGGTTTCCCAGGACAGCTCTACTTCTATCTACACCCTAAAGACAACTTCACGACACACACACACACACACACACACACACACACACACTTCTCATTGTCACTGACCCAAGTGACTTCTCACACACACTTTACCTTATCCGAGGGGTTGTCCCAGCCATAGTTAAATGGACTGGGAATATTGTCTGGAGACACAACCACTGCTACCAGGTTGTAGCAAGCCCTTGAAGAATACAGAAGGGCAGCTACAGAGCCCACGAGGATAGCCTGGCAGACAGATGTGCCCTAAAAACGGCAGAGGAAACAAGATGCATTAGAAGACAAGTGCGCTGTAACTCGAGGCTTCCCAGAAGATTAGTCTATGCATGGCAAGTAGTGCGTGCAAGATCTGACCCAGATCATCAACTTCATACACCAGCTTTAAATATTTTAGTGATAACCGGGCTAAGAACCTCACTCTGAACTCTGGGGAAGTTCACTGTAACAACCCAGCGGGAGCAGCCTTGCAAACCGAATGGCAGAACGACAGTTAGAGTGATCTAATAGAATACTTTAATAATAACTATTAGAACTGCGTGGTTACCTGTGGTGTGCAGTTATACGTAGAGCAGAAAGCGTAGTTTATGCAAGCACATGGGCATTATGGTTTAGACCAAGGGTTGACATTTTTAGGCAGAGTGCCAAAAAACACCAGCAACCTTGATTTGCAAGATGTTGGCATGCCAGGAGTAGATGGCGGCATAAACTGCAAGAGGCTAGATCCTTGTTGTGGTAGCATAGCCCCAGACCCTTCTGAAGCATGCTTGCCAAGCAAAAAATGCCTCTGCATGCCACGTTGGCATGCATGCTGGGAGTTGCCTACCCCTGGTCTAGACACAGCCAACACAAGACAAAGCCCAAAGAATAGTCAAGAGTCAAGCCCCCAGTGTTACATTCTAGTATACACCATGGCTTTAAGGCAACTGGTCCTTCCATGGTGTGATGTACCACAGCCTTTTTAAAGCTGCTCTGAGAATATCTGAGAAGGTTTTTGAAGTGCCCTGCTGACACAGGAGTGACTGCTTCAGGCAGCAGCATGTGTCCAAAGAGTTAGAAGATGGCATTTTAGCAGGGGACACTGAACAGCTTGCAAAAAAAGGAACTTCACAAAAAGTCGGATATACTTGCAGTTCTGTTCTGATGGCAGTGGCAGCCAGTATAGCAGGGCTGTGCGTCACCACGCCTTTTATCCAGAATTCCTGCAGCCATGACCCTTGTCCAATCAACCTAATAGCTACTATTATCAATCCCCCTGCATTTCATAGGGAATAACAACTCTCTCCCTTCTCTGCCACAATAAGGTTGTCTATTTTACTGTACTTTTGTCTTACAAGGGCTCCCAACAGCCTCTTCACTCCTGGCACACAGCCCTCCTCTGTCCCTTCAAGCAAACAGTTCACATTTATATGGAATCTTTTCTCTGCAATCCGCTTTTCTCAGACCTGAAAAAAGGACAAGCTTTTGGGCACCAGTGCCTGACAATCTAGTTGCTTTCTGAGCACGTGGTCCAGGTTCTGATCCCTTGCATCCTTTTTGGGAAAAGCCCAACACGATGCTCAGCTCCTTGCCTTCCTTTGCACTAGAGTTTATCCACTGTGACAGGGGAAAGCCTGCTCATTACTGGTCAGATTAGTGGGATGGGGTAGGGGGATTACCCCCTCCAAAAAAAAAAAAAAAGTGTCCCCATCTTTAGTAAGGCTATTGCTGCAGGACTGGCCAAAGAGGTCTAGTTACCACAGTGGGTTGGACCTACCTCCAGACATTATCTACAGGAAGCTGGTACCTGTTATGTGAAATGCAGGAGCACTTAGGGGATTTGCACCTGGCCTGGCTGCAAGGAGTGGAAGTTGTGGCTATATCAGGGAGTGGTAGACAAGTACTTGCTTTCAGCAGCAGCACATTAGTCTGGAGGGGTAGCAGAAAGTAGTGGGTGCCCTGGCCCAGCGTTCCTTATGGGGTGAAAAGACTAGAGGGTGGAGAAAAAGAAGTTTCGCTAGCCCTTTACTTCTCTCAGGCACGGTAGACTGAATATAGTCTCTGGCACAAAGGAAGTAGCAGAACACCAGCAGTTTGCACAGCAGGAGTTCAGTGACAAGGCTAGACTAGCCGAGGACTGCCTTCACTATCAGTATCACTATTGTAAAAGTCCCTTTAGGGTCAGCAATCACATCTGCATCAGGTCTTGGTTCACTACTGACATAAGGCTCTATGCACCTGGTCCAGCACCTACATGCTAGAGAAGATGGAGACCTGCACTTCTCCCCTTCAAGGGGTACAAGCCATTAACCAGTCAAGGCCAGAGTCCTTCCTAGTTCAGGGGAAGAGTTTCTTGCAACAGTGAAAGCCATTTCCAGCAGGCATTTACACCATTTGGAAGGGTTTTTTTGCCAGGCTAGCACAAGTCTGGTTAGACAAACTGGAGACACACTTGAACGGAGAAGGATTTCACCAGTGTTTAAGCAGTTGACAATGTAAGTGTTGCACCTACCTTTGACTCGAGGTAGACATTTGCTGAAGACATTTTTGCAAGTTTGCACATACAACAAGCTAATGAAATGGCACAGAGAATGAAGAGAGTGTCATTGGCTAACGCCTGAGCAAACACTGTCCATCTCAGATGATTCTCTGGAATATCTCCATAGATCAACATTGCACAGGTCACATTCACAACTAGGAAGAGAAGGCTGGTAAATATGGAGCCCAGATACATGAGGACCCTGAAAAGGAATGAGAAATTGATGTTAAGTGAGGTAGTCCATGAAGCTGCTCCATAGCCACATTCAAACATTCTGGAGTGGTGCTTTTGTGTCCGAACTCCTAATTTGCCGACTCAAAATTACTTGCTGCACGAAGAGGCCCTTATGAAAGCTGGGAACATTTAGACATTCAGAAGTCATTACACTGTAAGACACTTATCTTAGAAGAAGCAGACTGAGAAACTCTAGCATTTGAGGCATCCTGTGATCTTTGGAATAATAGAAAATTTGGGTTGGAAGGGACCTCGGGAGGTCAGCTAGTCCAACCCCCTGCTCAAAGCAGAAGCATCTCCAGCTACATCAAGGCTTTGTCTAGTCAGGTCTTAAAATAACCTCCAAGGATGGAGATGCCTCCACCTCTCTGGAAATTGTGGAACCTTTGTGGGCAGATAAGAGAGTTACACAACACTTAACTGTAAGAAGATAAAAAAAAAAAAGCTCTTATCTTGCAGTATTTAGTGTTGTTCTAACCTTACCTTGAGTGGCGAAGCCATAGAGTCAGCACAATGCAGACACACAGTCTTGGTAGAGAGTGCAACTACATTATAACCTACATCAAAATGTGAAGACCATCGAAAAACAAGTCCCTCGCCCAGTTATTGACATGCTGCCAAAAGGCACCCAGCCCACATCAGACTAGAGACATGGTATTCCAGCCATGGCTTCTTAAAGGTTGCAGACCACTGGCCTACCCTCTATTTTGACTCGGTTCTTGATCCTATACAACTGCAACTCCATGCCAAATGCCCATATTGCTCCAGGGTGAGTTACACTGCACTGGAGATCAGGAACAGAACTAGCCCCGTCACTAACTAGAAGTGATTTGGAAGTAGGAAAAGAGGGGCAAGTCCCCAAAAGGTTGATGTGGGTGACTGCCATAAAAGAGACTGAGAAGCAGAGTACTGGTGTAGCAGTATTCTTCCAGGCAGGGTGCATGAGCAGGCTTGGCATTTAGTTTCCCAAAGCCATGGTGACCATGCACAGAGCAAGGCATTCGTGACTGGTACATCGTCTCCAGGAAAGCCTCTCTGCTGATGCACACTGGGTGATCATGTTGGGTAAGTGGTCCCAGCAGCTCCTCAGCACATGTGGTCAAGTCCTTTACTCCAGACCTGCAAGGGACCAAACTCCAGTTCTTGGACTAGAACATAAAGCTTCCCTCGGGCTCTGCTATCCACACCCTGCACCACAGAGGCTGGCTCATCTTAACCAAGTCACACCTTGCAAAGAGAAAGAGCAGACCTAGTCCTACTAAGCTCTAACATAGGAGTCTACCGATTTTAGACAGTGGCTTCCAGATATACACTGTCATTAAACAAGAGCATTTTGGGAGGGTGGTCTACAGGGAAATATTACTTACTTGTACTTGTTGAATTCTGCTGCACATTTGACTTTGAATATAACCTGGAAAGAAGAGGGAGGAATGTCATTATGACCAGGATTATAAATAATAGTCCCTTTGGCAGTACACTGAAAGGGGTCCCTTTCCCTAGGAAAGGAAACTCAGGTTTCCATTCTAGACATGAGAGTCTATAGCCCTCCAAACTGATCAATGCAAATTGCAGCCTGCAACTGCTTGCTATGTAGACAAAAAGGTTGAGCAAACAGTGTATAAGTTTGTAGGGAGCAAGTTATCTTGTATTCTTACAAAAGAATTATGCTTAAACCAATTACTCTTTGGGCAATAACAGCAAGCCCAGTTTTATCATCCAAGAGGAAAACCAGGCACTCAAGAACACTGCTGAATTCCAGTCTCCTTGCGTTTTATAGCTGCTAGAGCTGCGCTGTTCAAAATAAGTTTACTTGACGAGATGCTCTTTGTACTGTATACTTTAGTGCCTCAGTACTGTTTAATTTCTTATTAAAGAAAGTGCTTTAGCTGCTATAATAAATTAAACATTTGAGGGCTATTTCTAGTTCAGCCATTTGTACTGAATTAAACTTCAGAGAAAGCTATTGCAATAATAGAAAGTATATACACACTCGGTGGCTGCGTCCAGATGAGTGCAGCTGTGCTGTACATGGTGCCGCAGACACATCTGCAGTGCCAAAGAGAACACCTGAATGTGCAGTAAGGTAGTAGTGTGTGGAGTGGGGGGGGCGGGGGGGGGAGGAAGGGAAGATGAGGTGGTGCATGCAGGGGCAGCGCGTACTGCCCAAGACTAGAGTCTGGCCAGCCAGAGTCATGCTTTGGCTGCCGACCAGGCTTTGAGCAGCAGGAGTCCCAGGAGACCGCTAGGTAAGGCTGCTGGGGCCAGACCAGCGTTGGCCCCAGCCTCCCTTACCCCAGCTGGGGTACCCTGCCATATGCCATAGGGCGCGTGGCACAGGCATTCCCCAGGGACAGCTAGCAGCGGCACAAGCGTCCACGCTTGCATGGATGCAGCCAATGTGTCTGCTTCTGGGTTTGTTCACCCTAGAGACAAACTCATTTGGCCAAATACAATTTTCAACAGTGATTCATCATGCACTTGAAGACTTTAAAACAGCCCGAGCCCACTGAATTCTGTAGAAAACTACAGATTGAATTACACAATTCATATTACATCTTGCACTCTGGAACAACTCTCAGGCCAGGAAGGGAATAGTTCATAGATTTCCCTTAAACAGCAGCAGTAGTTATAGGCCCAATCTCATGTGGGGCAAGGAAACACATTCACAATGCAACAATTCCTTGGTTTAAATCCAAGCAGGTGCACGTGGCTTGCAGAAGGGAGTTTTGGAAGAGAGGTTAAAGAGCCCCTCACGGGCTATTAGGGTGGTCTACTGCTGACACACAGAGAAGACTTTGTCCGTCGTTACAGACACACCCGCACAATGCAAGAGAGTTAAGGGTCAAGAGTAGCAAATCTCCACCCTCCCACCAACACTTTTTCCTAGCTCTCGACTCCCTAGATTCCTAGTCTTTTGCCTGCCAAGTGGTGGCTGCCCACTGGTTTGCCATTTCACGTAGAACAAACAATGAGTGGTACAATGCCGAGCAGGCTTGGAGCATACTGGACTCCTTTGAAAATCCCAGCCTAAATAAAGCAGAAAAAACAAGTTCCACTGAACACTAATAAGAAATAGAGCAAACAACTAAATCTTTGGATGAGAGACCATTCAAAGACTATAGACGTGAGATACTAGACAAACTGAATGGCCATCCTGCCTCCTAATCCATAGTTTTGCTAATTTAATCATCAAGTCCCCATTTCTCAATGTGGAGGTGGGCCGTGAACAAATAGAGCAGACACGAGTAGCAGCCAAGTCGCACTAGTAAAGCGCAGCCATCCTTTAAGTACTTTGTCACTCCCATTAATCCTTCCCTGGTTCAGCACAAGATGACAGACAGGATTTAGTCCTTTGGAAAGTGTTGATTTCTACATGTGTTCAAAGGATTAATTGGCCAATCTGGAAAGGAGGGGTCTGAAGCAGGGTCTCATCTGCATACTCCTTGCATCTCAACTATTTTTTTTGGAGCCAGAAAGGCAAGTTTCAAAAGGTAGCGTCGCCATGAAGGATGGCAAGGCTTTGCTGAGCCAGTGAGTTGGAAGCATACAAGATGTTACCACTTCTAGTAGATGCACTTGCAGTCACTGAAGCATCGTCAGACTGAGCGTACCTTTTATTACGGTCTCCTCCCTTCAGCTACATCCCTTTCAGGTCCCACACCATTTTTGTTCTAGGGCAGGGATTCGCAACCAGGTACAGCATTCTAGGGTGTTGCGAGATCATTTTATGGGTGCCACACAATATCAGCACTGCCAGGCATGCAAATACCTGCACGTAAAATTTGCAAGGTTAACCCAGAAATTTCAAGTTGTTTGATGCTATGGATTTTTTTCTGACCCATGGTGGTCTTTCAAGTTCTTTGCAATACAAAAATGGTTCCATCGTCTCTACCCCAGCAAAAAGGGTTGGGGGGGGAGGAAAGAGAGACAGAGCAAATAAATAAGAACTGACATTTTCTGAGGGATGTCTCAAGTCTGAAGTAGTTTCCCTTAGAGTGATTCTTCATTGCTGACTAATAGGTGTCACATTTTGATTTGCCACCTCTCTTCCACCTTTGGAGTCAGAGTCATCAAGGCCATTTCATTTTCCAAGAAGCTTTGGGAATACTGGCATTCATCTGACAACCTTCTGAGAGTGGCACTAGCCCCCGTATTCATAGTTGCGAGTACAGATTTACTGTGCTGGTTTCTAAGGTTTCAGAGTTTAGGGCTGGAAGGGACCTCGTGAGATCATCAGGTCCAGCCCCCTGCTCTGGGCAGGAAAGACCGCTCAGGCCAAATAACTCCAGCAAGGTGTGCGTCCAGTCTCCTTTGGAAGATCTCCAGGGAAGCTGCCTGCACCACCCCTGCTGGGAGTCTATTCCAGAGTCCGGTCACATGAACCGTGAAGAAGTTTTTCCTTATATCCAGTCTGAAACCTCCTTTTAGGAGTTTATGACTGTTACTCCTAGTTTTCCCCTGGAGCGCACTCTGGTGAATAGTTGCTCGCCTAGCTCCTGATGCTCTCCCCCGATATATTTGTAAGCTGCCACCAAATCCACCCCCCCAAAGTCTTTTTTCTAGGCTGAACAGTCCCATATCTTCCAGCCTTTCCTCATATGGCTTGCTCTTCAGGCCTCTCATCATACACACGGCTCTTCTCCAGCTTTCCCACATCCTTCTTGAAGTGCAGTGCCCAGAACTGGATGCAGTATTCCAGCTGTGGCCTCACCAATGCCGTGTTTCTCTGTACCAGTTTCCTTTCAGCCACGGACCAGAACCGGCTGCTTTAGGAGAGGTGTACAGCAGATGCTAGTCATTAGGTCTTCAATATTTAGAGACTGTTTAAGCTCACAAAGAAGAGTTTGCCTATGCTTTACATGGCATCTTTTGCCCCCCTTCAGGCCAAAACTGAACTCCCCCCATTGTGATACTAATTTACACAGTAGCTTATTTACACTGTGAACCATATTCTTCAGAGCTGCAGTCATTGCCTGTAGATTAATATGATCCACAGTAGGATTCTCAGAGGCAGGCTGCTATGCTGGGATTTCCCTTCAAGCCTTTGGAAGAGAAGATGGAAGGTAGTTATGCAGAAATCCTTCCAAAGGAGTTTTCCACCTATTTGTTCACTGGTGTTGGATTGTACTGGGAGATGCCTGTTCTGGAAAGGTGCAATCAGTGGAGTTCAAACACTGCTCCAAAGCACAAAGTGCCCAGCTTGCCGCATTTCTCACTCCACATTCCCATATTATTTGTACAAGATATCCCCCACACCTGAGTGGAAGCAAGTTGCTGATAAGAGGGCTGAAGGAAAGGAAGATGAGCACCTTCACCCAGCCAGCCTCGCTTAGCGCAGCAGGTTCTGCTTCTACTACAATTCGGTGATTAGCTTTACTATTGGCACCACTCTGTATCTTCGTTACAATCATCATGAGGTTCTCAGATCCCCACACAGCTGCTCACATTAAGGAGACTGTGAGCATGCATAGGTCCAGGACTAGCATTTAAAAGGTTTTACTATTGCCAAAATATTTGTAATTAGTCATAATAAAAAATACTTGTGCCCTCAGCCAAAGATGAGATTTGAAAGGAGTTCTGTTTGTTGTTTCTGTTGGTTATATCTTGGGTCCTCAGCAACAAGCCTGACATTTTAGGCAGGTTTTAGTCCTGGGGTCAGCAACATTTTTGTGCAGTGCCAAAAACACCTGCAACTTTGACTTCTCAGAAGTTGGTGTGCCAGAGGCAGATGGCAGGGGAGCTGCGAGGGACCCGATCCCTGTTGTGGCAGCACAGCCCTGGCCCCTTCCCCACCATCTCCCCACCCCCCCTTTCTCCTCGGCCCGGCCCCGTGCACCCTCCCGGCTGCTTGCCACAGCTGGCCCAGGCTCTGGACAGGCCCCTGACACCTGCCACGGAGCCCAGGCTGCTTGCAGCAGGTGGCAGGAAGGCTGCAAGTAGCTGCACCAGGATCTGCAGAGCCCTGGCTCGGTTCACTCCCAGCATCAGGTACATGTGTACCTCAAGGTGAACGATGGGGACAGGGTCAGGGCTACACTGCCACAAAGATTGGGCCCCTTGTAGCTCCCCTGCCATCTGACCTGAGGCATGAGTGCCAAGCAAAATGCCTTTGTGTACCACACTCTAGCACACATACCGGGGGTTGCCTACCCCCGCTCTAGTCCTAGGAGACAGACAGATGAACCTTTTGTCAAGGCATTCATCTTGCCTAACCTGGCCATTAGGGCAAAGCCAAGACAGTAACCTCCAGGAGCACTATATAGTCTTGGAAGGCAAAATGTGATATAGCTAAGGGTGGGATTTCAAAAGCTCTCAGCACCAGCCTTCCACTGACTTCATAGTCAGGATGGCTAGGAGCTGGAACCAACTTCCAAGGGAAGTGGTGCTCGCTCCTACCACGGGTCTTCGAAAGGAGGCTAGACAATCACCTAGCCGGGGTCATTTGACCCCAGCATCCTTTCCTGCCCATAGCAGGAGGTTGGACTTGATGATCTGCTCAGGTCCCTTCCGACCCTACCAACTATGAAACTATGACTTCAAGGGCAGAGTTATGACCCTCCCACTCCCTGCAAATGTCTCAGCTTTGCTTCAGTCAAGCGTCAAAGTTTTGGGGCAGTCTTCCCCAAGAGACACGGATAAACTTCATTCCTTGAAGCAAATGGAAAATCCAGTCCCTACTCCATTGAGATTCACCACCCAGCAAGTCAGGGAACTCATGATGCAGAGGGGCTCCACCATGTCACTGTGCAGCAGGCTAGAGCTGGTAGGCCTCCAGACACCGATCCGATATCCAGGGCATCCAACGCAGAGGCTGCTGCTCCACCTTCAGCAAGTAGGTTGAAGGATGTTTGCCCCTCCTCAGAAGAGCTCCAGCAGACAGCTGGGCAGTTGCTGTGCCCCAGGGACAGAGGAAAACCAACTCGGGATCTGGATACCTAGCAGACTGCATTGAGCCTTCAAAAAGGTGAACGCATAGATTCAGGAAGAAAGCAATCTGCTTCAGAGAGTCTGAGGTCCAGAGCACTTGAAGTATGAAATGAAAACCTTGCAAGTCTGCCCAAGCTAACAGGTGAGCTTCCTATTCAGGATGTTTTCCCGTTTCCCCTAGGAAGTGGACGATCAAGCCTTTGAAAGTGTGATTTCCAAGCTGAACTACCCCAAGAACAGCAATTGCTAGCTGAAGGGGTTTAAGACCATCATGCTTCCTGAAGGTGGCTGGAAGAGATGGCCATAAGAAGTGGAAGATGGGTCCTTTTAATTGCCAATCTACTAGGTAGAAAGAAGAGTTCCTGTGGAGGGTTTGCCTTGGATCTAAAGCACCTGTTCTTAGCCCACGGTGAACATATTCCATAGCAGGCAAACATGTCTCTACCCCTCCCAGAAAGACTTGGGTCCATCAGACCCGTGCAGAGGCCTTGGTCTTGTAGCTTTTTTTTGTTAAGGGTTTGAGCCTGACCTACATCAGCACTTCACTGCAGTCCTGGACCTCCCTTCTGGTCTTGAAGGAGTTTCTCATTTCCAAGTCCAGAAAGAAATTAGGAAGACTAGTTACTCCATGCAGCCAAACCTTCAGGCAAGGACGGCACTTTCCAAACCCTGTATTTGAGCTGCACAAGGATACGGGGGCACATTCCTAGCACCCTTCTTTCCCCAGGAATCAGCTACTCCTTATTTAGAACCACTTTGGCTTCGTTGGGCGAGTGCCTGAGCTCCCTCCTGCAAGTCACAAGAAAGATGTTCTGCTGCTTAGTTTAGATCAGTGGTTTTCAATCTGTGGGGGTCTGCGGACTATGTCTAAGCGGTCCGCAAAAGATGACTATGATGAATCAATACCATGCTTACAATTCAAATGGGCTTGCATCACTAGAAATTTCTTAGGGGTTGAAAAAGGTTGAAAACCACTGGTCTAGAAGCAAGGCACTCATGTGTAGATTAGTATTCTCCATACTAAAGAAACTCTTTGCTATTTTCTCCATCATTAAGGTTGCTTCTCACTCATTGCACTCATTCAGTACAATATATTGAAGTAACAATGCAGGCTTATTTAAGACTACATGCCATAAATAGCTTCTTCAAGGTTTCCACAAGTCCCTCCTACTCACCACCCTACAGCAGTCAGGCAGTCAAGAACCGAATCACAGAAAGGTCACGGGTGGGGCAGACAAACCCTGTGCATCCAAGTCACCCCATCCTGTCTCCCACATCACCAGAGCTGGCTGGGTACACCCTGGATTTCATAGGACAAGAGGCCATCTGGAATTGGGAGGGGACCATGTGACTCATCTGCAAGTAAACAGGGTGGCTAGGACTGTCTAAAATCTTTTTGTTTCTTTATCCCCAACAGGTGACCTGCTGGGAGAAAAGTAAAGGCTAGAAGTTCCTTCCATAGGAGAGCTAGAGGAAACTCAAAGGAGGAATGAGAACTCTTAGATGCTTCGTCAATTAGTAAAAAGATTAGATAAGAGATGATCAAACAGGGGGGTGAGAGGAAAAAGCATACAAGAAATCCCAGGCTGGATGCCACTTCCCTGCATCTCTGCTGCACTGTTGTTTGCTAAGAAGGGAATGAAGGAGAGGATGAAGTAATCCAATCAGTTAAAGTATTTTTAAATACACACACGCGTGCGTGCACACACACAAAAGCCAGATGGGTCATAGGCCACAGAATAATCTGAAGGAAGCAGCCTGCCATTGCTTTGCCTCAGAACAGGAGTCTTCGCTTTTCATGGCTGGAGAACACCAGAGGCAATACATCGGAGAAGGAACTGGGGAAGGGGAAAAGATAACATTTGCTTTAGGTCATGCTGCTCATTAGAGACTCCTTGGGAAGATCAAAGGAAAAACAAAGATTGGGTATGAAGGAAAGCAGGTACCTTGCAGAGGCATGGAGCTCAGAAGATCTCTCGGCTGCCTTCAGTGGCATCAGTGAGAGTTCAGTCTCCAAGAGAAACCCTGGACTGGAGCGTGCAACATCACAAGCAGCATATTGCCTCTTTGGAGGAATGGATGATGGAGGGGAGGGGGTGGAGCAGGAGGGAGACAGAGGTCTTGAGAGAGATGCGTGAGCCAATCTGGAAACACACCCAAGAAATCTGAACTTTAAAATGGGTCTAATCAGGTTATGAGATCAAAGCCTAAAACATCCAGCAACAAAACAGACACATAGCCTCCAACTCCACCTCGGTATTAGAAGCTTTTTCTATCGAGAACACATAGGTCAGTGATTCTCAAACTACTTCGCCTCCAGGCACTGCTTCGTATTGGAAGCGGAGCTGCACCCCATTTAAAAACCAAATCTTGTTTTATTGTAGTGCTTACCTGCTTAACCAGGGGGCAGGAAGGAGGAAGAGCAGCTGGCAGGGAAGAGCCCGCACTTCTCTTCTCTATGGAATCACTGACCTCGGTGTTCAATTAGCTGACTGTGGGAAAAGCCACTACGGAGACTACCGAAATTGCAAATCCGCAGCTACTAGAAGTCGCTTGAAAGAAAATTCCACAGGGGCACTGGAAACTAGAGTACCCGTTTCAAAACCAAAAGCTAGCTACAAGCAAAATTTGCACAGAACAGCACAATTCTTCTTTAGGTTTTAGACAGTCGGACACCTGTGTAGCAGTGTGATGGCACACCCCAACTCCGTTTTCACACCCGAGAGGTTTGCAGCCCAGTAGTTATATTTCCAATAAGTAAGGCCACTGAGCACCACAGAAGCGAGAGAGAGACTGGTATTGAAAAAGGTGGAGGGGAGGGGAAAGAATGAATCCCCGATTTGGCAGATCCTCTCTCAATGCACTTTCTTCTCCATGAAGATTACGCTGCATGCAGGAATCTAGTGGGGATCCAGCTTTACCTCCAGCTAGAAAAGGGACCCTTAAAACCAGCCTGCAAGTACATCAGGAAGTCAAAGCAGTCCAAAGCTTGGCACCCTACACCTGCAATGCTGGGTAAGCAAGTATTCACATACCTGGTGTTCTCTGTATCACCTAACGGGGAAGCAGCATCAAGAACTGAACCCCTCAGTACACTTTACATCCTGCATCAGCTTAATTAAGCAGGTGCCACCCCTCAGTTTGTGACTGAAGTCAGAGTGGCACTATACCGTAATGCAGATGACTCTTAAGAGTACCTGGCATCACTTTAACACTAGTTAAAAAGCTACCTCCAGCTTAGAGACGCATGCCAAGCCACACACCCAAGGCAATTCTTTGGCAGAGTGGCATTCGTGAACCAAAATCAGAGCGTTAAAGTAAAAGGGATGTCCCACTCCATTGTCAACTCCTCCGTTTCTTGGGTAAATGGTCCCTAGTTGCAAGATTCATCAGCTCCACAAGAGAAACGAGAACAATAAGGTCTTTTAGACATTTCAAGTCCCCTCTTGGCTCCACCATTTTGTATACAGCTCCATCGCTCATTCCTGCACCAGCAAGTGCAAGACAAGGTAGCATTTTATATCCGTTTCGCACCAGTGTATATAGCTCCCCGAGTCAGGTACCCAAGTTGTAGCTGTATTGGTCTAGAGGAAAAAGCAATCAGGATTTGCAATCTAGGTGATATCTTTGGGGTGTTTGTGCCCAAAAGCTTGCAATTAAAGAATTTTTTTGGCAAAAATTTAGTTGACCTAATCACCTCTACTGTGAGCCCTGATTACTTTACAACTCCGTGACACTCTTGAGAATCAGGCCCCTGGGTTGCAACTAAGCGTGCCTATACGCTCCATTTATTTATTTATTTTTAAACATTTGAGGTTTCTTTCCCCCTCTCCTATTCCATAGCTAAGATGCGCTTCGAAACCAGCACGCTTGGGAGAGGATCAGGGCACAGGAAGGCAGATTTCCTTGCACCTCTTGCCTTCCTTCCACCACTTCTTACCAAAAGGCTTTTCCAGTTTCAAAGAGCCTGTTGCGTAGAGCAAGGCTGCTTGTTGCCCAGCCCATGGCTACGGCAACGACGCCAAGCCTCCTGGGGGCGCGGCAGGGCTCCTCCGCCAGGGGACGGACCAGGCTGTGCCTGGCGAGTGAGGTCACCGCACCCATGGCTGCGGCAACGACTTATGGTATCAGGAGCCCGGCGCGTCTCAGAGGCGGCGCCCCCTCCTCACCTGCCTTCGCATGCGGGGACGCCGAATGCATGCCCGGGGGCAGGTCCAGGGCCGCGCGCGCGTCTCCTCCGGCAGGGGACACCAACGGTGCGCTGAGACGCCACGCCGTGACATCAGCCCAGCGACGTCACAGCACCGTGACATCAGCCCATCAGGCCAAACCCATTGAGGGCTCCGGTAAGGGACGCACCGCCATGCCGACATCAGCACAGTGATGTCAGAGCACCGTGACATCATCCCATCAGGCCAAACCCAACGAGGGCTCCGGTAAGAGACGCACCGCCATGCTGTGACATCAGTGCAGTGACATCAGAGCACTGTGACATCACCCCATCAGGCCAAACCCATCAAGGGCTCCGGTAAGAGACGCACTGCCATGCTGTGACATCAGCACAGCGACGTCACAGCACCGTGACATCACCGGGTGTCAGACTCCAGCTCCTGAGCTCCCTCATGAGGGGAAAGCCCGCACCCCCTCACCGATGACGTCACCCCTACCCGAGT